GAAACCCATAAAACTAGATATTTCACTGTTAGGACGACATAAATATAACTAAAACAAAGAATCATTGCTTATTAAAACAAAACCATGACCATTAGATGACCTCTTCACCTCTCTCATCAATCTTTATATCTTCAAAGAAAACTCCTTTAGATTCCCTAAACCTATTTGAAAGACATTTAAAATTTGCACAACGAAAACCTTAGCATGTAACCCTTCACCATTCTTATAATCTACCCATGCAACCCTAAAATATCATTTGCATAATTTAACTATCAACAAGGGACATAAAAACACATGCACAACAACAATTTCATGCCCTTGGTATTAACCATATTATGATTTCCCTCCCAAGGTAGGTACCATGAAAAACATTAAATGCCAATATCAAGAACTCCTTCTAACTCTCTGGATTCCAAAGTCTACACTATACAGAAAGGAAATATAATATTTCTCTTCATCTTACATTGGCCCCACATGCATTGAAAATCTTCACTTGCAAAAAGAAAACATGCACTCATACCATTATGTGATAACAATATATTACTCAACATTTATATCACTTCCATACATTTAATACCCATCAAACATTCCATGCAATTACAAAATAATAATTTATTATACCCTTAAACCTATATTGGTATCTCTATTCACAACCCATCACCAATGCACTCTATTGTCATATTTCACTCATACAACACGTTAACACTTCCTACTCTTATTTACATTCTTAACCTAGCCAACCCACGGCTACCCTCCAAAGATTATCGATATGCACTTATCTCTTACTACAAAACCATATGCATTGTAATCCTTTAACCCGTGCATTCATATTCTGGGAATAACATCCCAAACCATCTTTTTTCCTTAGCAACCCACAACCTTCCAATTGGGTATACTATCTATCCACACCATTTCTCAAGATTAACAAGTTTTAAAGGAAACACATCATGCTCAATCAATACATCAAAAAGTTAACTCCCCTTACCTGGGTTTTCCAGTGAATTCTTTAAAGGCCCCTTGTTCCTAGAAAATCCCATGACTGCAAAAAGGGCCCCTGCACAACTCCTTGGTACTCACAGTCTTCTCTCTATTACTCACTACGCTCATGGTGGAGGAAAAAAAGTGGTGGTTTCTATCTTGTGCACTATCTCGAGTTGTTCTGGAATGTAGCTTAGGGTTGCTTCTTATTTTGCACACAAGCCGCTGGAGGTCGCGCGTTCTTCCTCCCCCGATGCCGCCGTCGTTGAGGATACCCAGCTAGTGGCTCCCCCGCGCCCCCAAGTCTCGCCGGATTCCCTCCAGTGCCCACCGGGATACTTCAGTGTGGTTCCCCACTGGTCTCGGTCTGACATTGGTGGCTATTGGGATTTGCACCTAACTTACGTCATTTTAATTTTTTTTAAATATTTACACAGTGCAATCTCTTCAAATGTGCCACATATTCATCAAACTGCACAACTCACTCAGGTTTGGCCACGATGGCATTTGCACCGTTGTGTTTTTAACCGCGTGAGCGAAAATTATCGGATTAAACATTTTTTAACAAAATATGGAGTCTTATTGAACTTTTTTAAAAAATAGGATCAATTTGAAGCAAACCCCTAAAAGTAAGGATCAAATATTGTATTAAACATTAATATTAATTAGGTTTTCTACTAAATATTCATAAGGATTGTTAAAATTTTCAAAATACTAGAGTAATATATTTAACGTTTAAGTGTGTGTGTGGTATTTTCATGATAATTACATGGAAACAGAGAAGTTTATAAAAAAATTGTCAATCTTACTCATATAGAAAATAAAAAACTAAAAAAATTAATTTCATAAAATAGAATTTTCTAATTATTAAATATCTTTATTTATTTAATTTTCTATTTTAACTCTTCTCTTCTACCAAATAACTGCCTTATTAATCCATTAATTAAATAAAAGGACGCCGACATTTGAGACTTGAGAAGTTTCAAGAAATTCCCTCGTAAAAAAGAAATAAAACCCGAACTTGATCTGTTTAAGCGGGTAAAAGACGAATGCGCGTGACGAAGATAAAAACGGCACCGTTGTGATATCTCATAGACATTGAACTCTGAGAAAAATAATAGTCATTTAATTTCGATTTCAGATAATAGGTATTTCCATATTCACCCCCGCTGAATCGTCGATTTCTGGAATCCCTTGTTCTTCTGCACTGTCTCAGATAGATTCAGATTCAGATGTCCTAAAGCGCCTCACATGGCCACGACAAGGTCACCTAACCATTTTTCCGAGGAAGGCGCCGATCCCACGCCGTTCCTCGGCGCCTCTTCCGATGACTCTAACTCCGGCCGCCGTCTCCTCCGCCGCCCCAGCCTACGCGAGGCGGCGCGCTTCCTTCGGCAGGCGAGCGGACGCCGACTGATGCGCGAGCCGTCGATGGTGGTGCGGGAGGCGGCGGCGGAGCAATTGGAAGAAAGACAGAGCGATTGGGCCTATTCGAAGCCCGTCGTAGTCTTGGATATTCTTTGGAACTTCGCGTTCGTCGCCGCGGCCGCCACCGTCTTGATTCTTAGTCGCAACGAGAATCCGAATATGCCCCTGCGGTGTTGGATTGTAGGCTACGCTATGCAGTGCGTTCTTCACGTCGGGTGCGTGTGCGTTGAGTACCGGAGGCGCCAGCGACGCCGTGAACAGTCCAGCGCCGCCGTTGCTGTTGGCGGCAGCGGGGATTTGAGTTCGGCTTCGATGGAAGGCTCTGGACACTACGTGTCGTTGCCGCAGCTCGAGGACGATACTATAAGGTAAATTTCTAATGCATTTATTACTATATGAGTACTTTTCTCTTCTTTTTTCATTTCATATGCATTTATTACTATAGCGCTGGACTTATAATGAATTGTGTTTGCCAAATGAATTTAAGGAACCAGTATGCTTTTAATTGTTTACTAATGATGTAACTGAAAGTCGTTTAACTAATTTAAGTTTCATGATATACGTGGTTTAATTGAAAACTCTGCCAAACCTTCAGTTCACGCTTCAGGAAACCGCGGGGAGATTTTGGGTTTCTCAGTTGCTTAGTTAAAAAAGAATTTTGTCAGTTCAAAATATATCAAATGCTCTGATTTTCCGACTTTTTGTAATACTCTTGGATCTAAAATCTCACTCAAATTGGTTTGAGTGAGTGTGAAACGAATGATGTAACTTTGTAGGAATAGGTGATAAAAAAGGCTCTCTCATCTAATAATTGTCTGAATTGTTAGATACTAAAGTTTTTTTCTATCCACTCTCTTTAAACGGGTGGAAATGTGTATGTTTTATGTACAGACAAATTAGTAACACATTATGTTTGAGCACAGCAGTATGGTGGCTAAGTCTGGAAATCTAAATGATGGATGATTAGGGAAAAATTCTCTATTCGCCTGATATAATTTCCAGCAAGGTTATATGTGGGTCAGTTTGTTGCAGTTTGTTTTCCCATTTTCCCATTTCTTTTTGCCATCTCTTCAAAATAATCAGAAGGTAAGCTTGGAAAAATAATACAACATGTCCAATATTTATTTAGATCGGGAAATAGTACCATCAATTATTAATTCATTCATCATTTTTATTATTTAATGTTATGAGTTTTTATGTTGTTTCCTCAAACAGTATGGCCAAGCATTTGGAGTCAGCCAACACAATGTTTTCATTCATTTGGTGGGTTGTTGGATTCTATTGGATATCAGCTGACAGTGAAGCTCTGGTCCAACATTCTCCTCTGCTTTACTGGTTTGTTTCTCTCTCCCTCTCTCTCTTGTCTTGTATCTGACTCGTGTGCTTGTGCAACTTGTTCATACTTCTGTTATTGTATTTATGTGTAATTTATTTTCCTTTTTGGAAAACCTACAGTTATTTTGGTTGATTACCTTTGACAAATTCTACTTGCTTTGCAGGTTATGTATAGCCTTCCTGGGTTTTGATGTTTTCTTTGTCGTTTTCTGCATTGCACTAGCATGCATCATTGGTATAGCTGTTTGCTGTTGTCTTCCATGTATCATTGCACTCCTGTATGCAGTTGCAGACCAGGTACATCATGGTGTCATTACTGGTTCTTGTTTGAGTTGGTATGGATGTACGAATCTATCACCTCAAGTGTTCATGTCCTTAAATTTCCCTCTACTTATCAACATTTATCTACCGAGTCTTTAAAGAAAATTAGTGATATTTATGGCTCCAAATGTTTGAGTTTTTGAATTTATTGAAGCTAAATGAAATTGAAGGATGCACATAGAATACATATAGATTTTCTATTTGGTAGAAAGAGACACATATGCTAGCTTCTAGGATCTATTTTTTGTAGATCAAACGGTGTTGGATGTGAAGGAAAAACTGTCTTGTGCGGACAAAATATGTGAAATTTTTAATTTTCATTACTGTTGCTAGTTTTGGTGGGACTTTAATAGGACTTGTAGTGTATAAGATTCTTAGCAGAAATTTGGAATGGAATATGATTGCGACACATGAAGATTGATTTATTATGCCTTCTATTTACTGAGTTCCATGAATTGTTACAAAGGAAGAACTGTGTTTGTTCTACTGTTTAAGGTGAATAACCTAGGCTAGCCCATTGTATTTTGAGCTGGATAATGCTATTTGACTTTCTGAGGGAGTTCTCACCCGTAGCAAACCAGAAGCACTGTTTGACTCAGTTGTGTCTCTTACCTGATCTTATAGACACTAATTTTTGTCTCTTTTACTAAGTTTGGCACGTCCTGTATATTTTTGTTTTTTAGATAACATTTTATCCTGTGATTTGTATGCTTCATCCAGGTTGACATTGTTGGCCTTTTAGGATTTGTGAGGAGTAAAACTTGTCATATGATTACTTTCCTACAGCTTGGTTCATTGTGAATATTTTATTGATTCTTGAGTATTTAATTGTGATAATTGTTGTAATCTAGTTATCTAGTAATTGTACTGTTTCATGTCTAATCTCTTTTTTCTCATTTGTCCGGGATTAAAAAAAGCAGGAAGGGGCATCAAAAGAGGATATTGAGCAATTGTCAAAGTTCAAGTTCCAGAGAACCGAAATTAATGAGAAACTTGCTGGGAATACACAAGGAACTGCTGGAGGAATAATGACTGAATGCGATACTGATTCTCCCATTGAACATGTTCTTTCTGACGAGGATGCGGTATGCTGCTCATTTTTGTTATGTGTTGGCTTGGCCTTTTTCTCCCTTTCCGTCGTATTCTTTTTGCTCTGTCTGTCTTTTTCAATATATTTCAAAGGGAAATCCATGTTTGTTCCAAAACAATGGCCTTATTATAAGCCATAGCACAGAGTCGTTTTTTGAACACATTCCCAGAATGGAGAATCCGTTATGTATTTATTCCGCCTTCCATCTCTTCCTTTTTGGCCTTGCTTTTCAATCTAATTTTATGTTGGAAGGAATTCGACAAAATGGTTCCAGAAAATGGTAGATAATTTTGATGAGATTGATAATTTGCTTTAGAAAAACTGATTGCACCCTCTGTTGTGCGGCTAATCTGAAAAATTTTGGTTTGCAAACTGTAGGAATGTTGCATCTGTCTTTCTGCTTATGATGATGGCGTTGAACTTAGGCAACTTCCTTGTGGCCACCATTTTCACTGTTCCTGTGTGGACAAATGGCTGCATATCAATGCTACTTGCCCCCTGTGCAAGTACAATATCTTGAAAAGTACCGGTCACGGTCAAGACGAAGTTTAGTCAGAAAAGTTCTAGCAGCCTGCTGGGGAAATTGCATATCTTTTGGTTTACAGTATATTAGGCACAACTTGTTCATATAATCCAATACAGGCCTTTATTGTAGTTGCTGCTGCTGCATACTCTCGTAGTGATAGTTGTTTCGATTATTCTTCGTTTTGAGTGGCTTCTTTCTGGTTATGTACATCTGCTCATTGTATACAGTAAATAATCATCTCGAGGCAGTTTGGTTGTCATTTTTTGAATATTTTTTATCATCACCGTTCTTTGAGAGTATACTGTCTTTTATAAACATAAGTATGTCTAAGTGTACCATTTGATAACGGTAGGTTCAACCTACCACCTTCTTAGTCACTGATTTTCTGAATTCAAATTGAGACTGTTGCAAGTGTTAGATTATTTACCACTATCTCGATTGGTTGCTGGTTCTATTGCTGAAGAGCAAGACCAAATAATGTGTGACTACAAAGCTGAATCTGAGGAAGAACTTTTGGTCTTTGAAAATTTGCAGCTCCTGTTTTTGCTGAATCACTTGACAGTTCAGAAGTTCGAATTATGGTTTTGCGTTCATCTGATATTGGTGGCTTGGTTGTAGTTTTACACATTCCAAATATGGTTCATAATGTTTCTTACACAAACATTCTGGGAGAAATTCGAAGGGTTTAGGTTTTGACATCAGTTTTTATTATTGATAATGATGGGTGGTTATATGTCTATTACGAGTTTCGAATATGTACATGTGTGGTACATTTTATGTTCGTGAAGAAAATATTAAATCTAGTGTTCTACAAGAAAATGAAATTTTAGTCAACCATACGTCGTGTAAATTTATTATGTTATGATTTAAATAAAAAAGCTTTTTGAATGAAGAGATTTCATAATTTTGTATGTGAAAATT